TTCGTGCAGGGATTTTCATTTATTGCATCACCCTTGACCAAGTTGACTTAGACGGGTGCTTCATTTCAGTGGTCGGACGAGTGTGAGGCGAGCTTTCAGAAGCTCAAAACTGCCTTGACCACAGCTCCGGTGTTAGTTTTGCCATCAGCTTTAGGTTCATATACAGTGTATTGTGATGCTTCGGGAGTGGGTATTGGATGTATGTTGATGCAGGAGGGTAGGGTTATTGCTTATGCTTTGTCACGACCCGGATTCCCACCTTCGGGAGTCGTGATGAGGCCTACTAATACGAGCTAGGCAAGCCAAATAATTGCACAAGTTACCTTTTTACCCATTTATATTCATTAACAATTTCGAAATAATAACATTTAAACGGCGGAATTAACATAAGCGGAAGAAAGAAATAATAAGCTATCTGAACATGAATATCTAATACAACTGTTTGAGTCTCGACTACCCAGAACTGGTGTCACAGTATCACAGACGGTCTAAGAATACTACAAATAAAGGTCTGAAAGAAATAAATACAATACTGTCTTTGGAAATACATAAAAGAAACAGGGATAGTAGATGGAAGGAGACGTCAAGGCCTACGGACGCTTGTAGGACTACCTCGGGTCGCCTGATGAGCAAGAATCAGCAAATCCCACTGCGGTCCAAAGTCTACAACACTGGGGTCTGCATAAAAGAGTGCAGAGTGTAGTATCAGCACAACCGACCCCATGTGCTGGTAAGTGCCTGGCCTAACCCCGGCGAGGTAGTGATGAGGCTAGGACCAGACTCCAGATTAAAGTGTGCAGTTATATATATATATATATATATACACAGCGGAAAAATAAACTAGACAAAACAACTGAAGCTGGGAAGGGGAAACATGCTTCGGGGAATAATAGATAAAACAGAATCTCAAGAGAATTATCAAGAAACCAAAATTTAACTTCTAACAAGAATAAGGAAAAACAAAGGCAGATTTCACGCTCGGTCTACATCTCGTTGCAGGCGTGCAACCCTGATCCCATTTCTCATATCTTGTGGTAGGTGTACCACCCGCTCCCATTTTATTATATCTCGTGGTAGGCGTACCACCCGCTCCCATTTCACTATATCTCATGGTGTACTCACGTTACCCCCTGCACCTTGTGTGCAGGTCCAGGTATTTCAGGTCACGGTAGCGGCTGCTGATCATATCGTTGTGGACTGTTCATTGGAGATTGCGAGGTAGCTGCTTGGCGACCGCGGTTCCGCCTTCTCCTTCCCTATCTTCCTCTTAGCAGAACTGTTGGATATTCTCAGACTATGTAGTCTTGTTTATTTCGAACAGTTGTAGTATTTTTGCTCATGACTAGTGACACCCGATGTCGGGCTTGTATTTCTTTCCGCATGTTTTGGATTTCTACTTTTATCTTATTTGATTTCGGCTAAAAATATAGTTTTTCTTAAATTTTAAATTGGTAAATGGAGTACTTTGGAAATAAGTGGCTGGCCAAGTTTCACGATAGGCGCCATCACGACCGGGTCGGTTTTTGGGTCGTGACAAAGGCAGTTCAAGAAAGAAATAATGACATCATTATAGGGTGCAAACTACCATACTTGGCATGCCAGGCTGGGGCGAATTTAGGGGGTAGGAGAGGGTTCACCGGAATCCCTTTCGCCAAAAATTATACTACATATAAAATAAACTCTATTTTTTACCTCTATGTATTATATTTGGAATTTTGTGGACACGTCAGGCCAAGGGGGATCAAAATCTTTGTGAGGTCACTAGTTCAATTTCCACTAGCCACAACTATTTTTAACATTTTAACTTTTTTTTTGAACCCCTTAGCGGAAATACCGCCTCCACCATTGAAGTCAGTAATTAAAGGTTGGTCGGGAATATAACTGTAAATACAGAGTTTGTTATAACGCAAACTCAAAAAGAAATTGGGAAAAGGATAGGTTTATTACATAGTTTTAGGAAAGCTCCTAGAAATCATTGTTTCATCCATACATTATGTAAATAGTGTGGTGTTCATCTGTTTTTTTCTTCTTTGTTTATCTCTTGAGGTCCGGATGTTAATAACGCTCTTCCTAGAAGGTGGTTATAAGATCGAATACTCTTTTAATGCATAAAAAGTTTTATTGTTAATTGTAATATTTACAGGTTATTACAAAAAAGATAATAATAGAAAGCTTAATTTTATCCCTAAAATAGTGATAGACAATCTCAACTAGGTGCTATAAGGTGCTGTTTGTTTTATTTTAGATTTGACAGATAGTTAGCTACAGGTTTGTGTAGGCACAGAGTTTGCTTCAATTTGCTTTAAATAATCTTGGGGTTGCATGTCCAACTTTAGGGGTTTGCTTTGTTTGTAATTACTCTTTTCCTAATCCCTGGTAATAGAATTTACAGTAGTTAACAATTATTATTATTATTATTATTATTATTATTATTATTATTATTATTATTATTATTATTATTTTATTGAGTGGACATAGAGGGAGTTCAGTCGAACAAGGTAACGAGTCTAAGGGAAGGATCAAGCTTGAAAGGAATGGAAAGATTAAAATAAATACTGTTGGGAGTGATGGACCAATTACAATGTGGACCAACATTGCTATATTTGCTCCAGAAACTTTCAGAAACCACTATGTTTTAGTAGTTATTAGCTAGTTGTTGCTAACGTTTACTATATTACTTCCTATAGCTATGTTTTTAGATTTTTTAAAGTGTATTCGATGTATTTAATCTACTGTATTCATGAATACACTAGCATTTCTAGGCGTGAAACAGGGGATTACAGCTAGACAGATTTTTGTATTCGAGTGTATTCGGCTGTATTCATGGTGTGAAACATGGGATTACAGCTGGACAGATTATTGTATTCGACTGTATTCAACTGTATTCACGGCGTGAAACAGGAGATTATTTTGTTTTAAACGGAAATTGAATCAATTAACATAATAGACTCCTAATATAACTCAACAAACTCAATTATAACACACAAATTTTATATTTTCAGTTATAAAAAAGATTCTCAACCGAAAAACACCCCAAAAACATAGCAATCTTCAGAGAAATTATATAATACATCTGAATACATAAATTATATTAATTAAAAACAAATATATTAATATATTCATGGAATATAGCGAGACAGTGATTACAATGAAATACATAGAATACAACGGGATACATTGAAAATACAATGAAAAAAAAGAAAATGAATACAATGGAATACAGTGAGATACATTGAAATTCATTGAAATATATTAACAGAAAATTCAAGTTGCTCAGCCCCCAATTCCGTCGTCTTTGCTCAAGAACAACCCTAATGTCGTCTCGTTGAAGCATCATCAGTATCCAGTCCTCGCTCGCCGTCACCGTTGCCTCCGGTTGTCGGCGATCCAGCGCCGCCTTTAATTCCAACTGTTGTTGCATCGGAGATCGTACGTGATCAAAGTTTCCATGGAGGTAATGAGCACAAAGCATACCACCCATGAAATTCACTCTCTAAAATTTACACTCTCAAAATCAACTATGCTTTCTAATATTTTGGTAACGTATATATCATTGACAAATTGCTTCCGATTTGCTAATTAGATAAGGATCTGAACTTTCCAGCTAAAATCGTACTAATTTTGTATTTTCTTGTAGTGTATAGATCTTAAAACACAGTCGAGATATTTCAAGAAGGAGAGGATATGAGATCGGGAAGTAGAGAGAGAGAGGGAGAATAGATATGGGATAGGAGAAATTTGAGGGGATATGAGAGAAAAAAATAATACAAAGCTTATTTTATGGCTTAAGGGTAGGAGGTGGCCATAAATAGATATTTGGCTATAAAAAATCAAAAGGTAGCTATGGAATATAATTTTTTAAAAAGATATTTATTTAAAATAAATAACGTATCAATCTTTGCTATAGAAGGTAACTAATCCTATTTCCTCCGGGTCCAAAACATACATGTTGTCCTGTTCCAAAAGTCCAAGTAAAATTGAAAAGTAACCAAAATCACGTAACCAACTCAAGTCCCGTGTAACAGTACACAAAATCTCCATAATTTACATCTATTTCTCCATCAAATATAACTCCAAAATCCATATCACGTCAGAAACGAATCAAAACAAACTTCGATGTGAAGATCCCGCTACTGCAAATACTCATAAGATTCACGCCATATACTGCAGAGATTAATACTAAGCTCTCATTTGGTCGTAGATTCTGGCTTTGAAAATATTATTTGTTCATGAAGTATGATCAATTTTTGAAAAGAATTTAAATAAAATTTTAAGTTCCCAAAAACTAGTTAAGGGCAAATTTTGAGTGAAATATTTTCTTGCACAAAAAATTTAATTTTTTTTTCCAAATAAAATGTATGGCCAAACACAACTTTAACTTCAAATACTATTTTTCGAATTTCAACCAAATTTATTCGAAAGCTAGCTAAATCTTGGGATCCAACGATTAAAGCGCAGAGATACCAAGATTTTTTTTTGGAAAGAGAGACAAGAGAGAGGAGGAAAATAATTACGATGCATCTAATATCTGCACCAAATTATGATATCAACTTATCATGGTTATGTTATTAAATGAAGTGAAAACATTTAAAAATTTGTCATAGCTAAATGATAGTACTTAAAACTTTATGTGCAAATATCATGATTAAAGTTGATGTGCAAACACAAAGTTTCACATCGGTAGTGACTTGGAAGAACGTGAAGGTTAAATTCTATAACCCACCAAATATCCTTAAATAAGAGAGAATTCACCAAGTGTATGTTAATACAAATACTATACATTACGTTTATGCCTTTCCAAATGGTATAAATTTTTTATTTTTGCTATATATTGTGCTACCCTTGACATGGATATTCTTTTTTGAACGCAACACATGGATATATTATATTACTTAAAACAGAATAAAAATTACATAGGCATAGTAGATGTTTTTAGGGTATTACTGTTGCCCATAGTGGCCAAATAGTTACAAACATTTGTAGAAATACTCCTAATACTATTACAAACTCCATGCTTGTTCTTGATCAACAAAAAAAGGTAGACAGGCATGGTAAAAATACTTTGATGATGGTGGGTTCTTGATAGCTTGCTTGGCCAGTAAATGTGCCATCTCATTTTCTTCCCTGAAATTATGCTTCAGGTGTGGGAGTTTTAATTGGTGCATTAACCATCTGCATTCAGAAACAATATTAGAGAAGTTAGTACTATCCTCATAAATAAGTTTGATGACATTCGTACAATCAGTTTCAATTTCCATATTGAGGAAGTTCATTTCTTTTGCAATTTGTAGTCCTTCTAGCAATGCCAACAGCTCTGCATGAGTAGGAGAAATTGCTTGGATTGATTTGGAATAACCCACAATCCAATCACCTTTACTATTTCGAAAAGCTTCACCGAGTCCAGCTGTAATATTGTTACTAGAAAAAGCACCATCACAATTTAGTTTGATCATACCTTTAGCAGGTTTGTTTCAACTGATCTCAATATTAACAGTTTTTTCCAAGAATGGATTTTTTTCAGTGAAGAAAGTGAATTCCCAAGATGGATGGATAATTTTCCTTATTTCCACATAGTTATCAAGATTGTTGATATTATTATGATTTCTGTTTTTCCATAATTCTCATATGGAGAAGGAAAATAGGGTAGTCCACTCTATCTGAAAGTTACAGTTTTGAATAAAGATATCCCTCAACTTAACTAGCCAATTTGAGTCATTGATAATGTTTATAGACGGAAGACCCATCTTTTGCCAGAGATAGTTAGACACTAGACAATTAATAAAAATGTATTGAATGTCCTCTACCCCGGATTTGCAAATGGTACAGGTAGCATCAATATTGATTCCTATTTTGGCTAGGTAGGCTCGGCATGGAATACGATTGTGCATGCATTGCCAAAGGAAAAACTTTAATTTATTAGGGCAGTGGAGGTTCCAAATCCACCCAAAAGGCTTGGAAGTAGTGTTGTCTTCACAGAGGAGCTTATAGCAAGATTTGGTGAAAATTAGACCAGTTGAGTTGAGACACCAGCTTATTTTATCGATATTTGATCCCTTACTAGGATGGGTGTAATGTTAAGATTGTTAAGGATATCACCGGACAGTTCAAAGGAGATAACATTTGTATTCCATTCCTTGTTATGGATGAGACTTCCTATAGTAAGAGTTTGGTCACTCCTATTCAGAGGCCCTTCTATTAAACTTCTAAGGGAATTTGAGTTGTAGATCCAATTGGCATATCAAATATTAATCCTGGAATTAATACACGGATACCAAAGAAGGCCCTTATTGCACACTTCCCATCCTTGAAGGATAGCTTTCCAGATGAAGGAGGAGCTACTGAGGGATTTATTAGTGGCATATTTGGCCATAATCATGTGACCCCAGGGAGACGTAGGGTTATTTAACAGTCTTCATGCAAGACTTGAGAAAAGAACTAAATTTTTCGCTTTGGCTGGCCGAATACCCAAACCTCCCTCATTTTTATCCTTTGTAACATTTTGCTAAATAATTAGGTGAAGTTTTTTAGTTGTGTTGGTGGATCTCCAGATAAAGTCCCTTTGGATTTTATGTATCTTCTTTAAGATTTTAAGGGGGAGAAGGGTGTATTGCGTAGAGTGAGTAGGAATTGCACATAAAGTACTTGAAGCTAGAGTAGTCCTTCCTGCCATATTTAGGAAAGAGCATTTCCAGTGGGATAATTTGGTTTGCATCTTGTCTATGATAAATTGAAAGTTCTTGGTGGTGGGGAAGTGATTGAGGATTGAAAAACCAAGGTACTTACCAAACTCATTGGTGGATTTTATACCAAAGAAGCTTGTTAGGAATAATTTGAAATCGTGGGGGCAGTACTTAGGTAGGACAATCATCGATTTAGAGGTGTTAATGGCTAGCCCAGATTCATCACAGAAAAAATACATACAAGATTTTATGCAATGACTTATCTTTTTATTTGCTTTTCCCATTAGGATTATATCATCAGCAAAAAGAATATGGGAAAATGAGGAGTCTTTATGTCTAATATAGATTGGATCCCATCGTAATGTGTCTACTTGGTGATTTATTAATCTAGAAAGTAGTTCAAGACATAGAATGAATTTATAAGGAGATATGGGATCACCCTGACGAATACCTTGACTGGGCTAGAAAAAATTTGTTCTAGCACCATTCACTATGATGCTCATAGAGCTAGTACTAATGCAGTGCTTGATTAGACGAGATAACTTGGGAGGAAATTGGAAATATTTAAGAGTCTTATGCACAAAAGACCATTCTAGTCTATCAAAGGCCTTTTCCAAATCTAATTTGATTATCATATCAAAGTTGGATTTTTTTTGTTCTACGAAGGTTATTCATAATTTCCTGTATGATAATGGCATTATCACATGTTCTTCTATTCTTGATAAAGCTAGATTACATAGGACTAATAAGATAAGGAAGGAATGGTTTTATCCTATTAGCAATGATTTTAGTGATTATCTTATAGGAGGTGTTACAAAGACCAATAGGTCGAAAGTTTTTGAGGTTGTTTGCATTGGGAAACTTAGGAATGAGACAAACAAATGTATCATTGATACCACTTGGTAGTGATTGGGTTTTGAAGACGTTGTGGCAGAAGCTTAATACAGAGTTGCCAATGATATGCCAATACTTCTGATAAAAAAAGGATGAATGACATCCGGGCCTGGAGCCTTAAAAGGTTTAAAAGAAAATACAGCCTTAGTAATCTCTGAAGTGTGTAGTGGATTATCAGGGTTACTTAGGTCAACCTTATTAAAAAGGGAGGCATCACCTATGTTAATTTTGTTAGGGGAGGAAATTTTAGATGTCATAAAGGCATTCCTAAAGAAGGATACAATATGGTCTAGAATTTATTTTTAATCCAAGATCCAGTCCCCGTTATCATTAGTGAAGTACATAATTGCATTACGACGTTTGCGATTAGAGGCCGTAATATGATAGAACTTGGTATTGGCCTCACCCTCATTGAGCCAATTTATTTTAGATCGTATTCTCCAGAAATCATTCTCCATTTTTAAAATAAAGTTATAGTCCTGTTGTAATTTTGACTCTAGATCTTGCAAGAAATAGCTTGTTTGGTAATTAGGAGAATATTGGATTCCACTTAGTCTAGCAAGAATCCTTTTTTTTCTTTTTTGAAATGTCACCAAAAGTTTCATTTTTCCAAATGATAGTCTTATCTCTAAAGATTCTTTGGGCACCAATAAAGTTATTGTTAGACCAACAGTGTTTAACTAAACTAATAAAATCCAGGTGTCTACACCAAATGATTTTTAAACGAAATGGCTTATTAAAATAATTCACATTTTTAGGGGAGAGATTAAGTAACAAGAGGTTATGATCGGAATGGGTCTTAGGAAGGTGGATTATCACTGCCTTAGGATATAGGGACAAGCAATCCTTGTTAGCAAAAACTCTATCTCGTCTCTCCATAATTAGACCCTTAGATTTTTTTCTATGATTAGACCAAGTATATTTTGGTCCTTTATAACCAAGGTCTAATAAGTGACAATTGTTTATGCTATTCCAAATAGAGTTGCTACGCCTACGGTTAATGGGGTTACCTCCCAGCTTATCATTTGAACTAAGGATATCGTTAAAGTCCCCCCCCCCCCCCCAATAACCAAGGGCCCTTATAACTGGTACTAATATTTTCTATATTATTCCACAATTCACATCTTTTATCAATTTTAGTGCTAGCATAAATAGATGAAAAAAGCCAAGAGGAATGAGATGGGACTACCTCTATATTTGCATGAATCTCCTGCTTTCTCCTAACAAAGTTATGAACCTTAACAACACTAGAATCCTAGAGGATCACCATGCCTCCAGATTGACCATCACTTGGAACTTCAATCATCTCAGAGAAGGCAAAGTCACTAAGAAGGGAGATGTGATTTTCCATTCTTGTTTCCAATAGTGTAACCATGCATGCCCTATGAGTATCTACCATTTCTCTAAAATTAACCCTGAAGTTCTCATTGTTTCCTCCATGGATGTTCCATTTTATGATATTAGTAGGCCTAAACATCATTGCATGGTGATTTGTTGGACCATTGTCCATCTGAGCTTGCAGCACTGGGTTCCTCCTTAGTGAGGGAACTAGAATCATTGCATGGTTCCCCACCGTAGGATCCTAAGGGGTCCTCACATCCATTGAGCACTTGTAAAGCGCTGGAGGGCAACTGAGCACATATCTCTTCTGTAGTAGATCCCTGAAAAGAAACACTTTTACCTCGTTGAGACTTGAAAATTCTAGGACTGGTCCGGACCCCAGTAGGTTTATCTCCTCTTCTTCCTCCATATGAACATTTTCTGGTTCTGGTGCATTGGGAGGGGGTTGAGCATGAGGAGCTGGATGTGGTACTAGTTCTAGTGGGACATTTGGTGAATTTTATTGTTGAGCTGGATTTGCATGGGGAGGGATTTGCATGTGGGGATTTGGTTGAGCTTGTGCATTATCCACTGGGAGGGACCAGGGCATGAAGATGGGGTTCATGTTGGTGATTTGCCCCGGGGGAAAGAATGAAAGTTCCACTGGGACATTCTGATTTTGGATAGGATTGAAGTGGGGTGGTAAGCTCCACTGATTTCTCATGGCCTGAGCTTGACTTAAGTTCATCGAAGGAGCAAGTGGATGAAGGATGTTGTTCATCCACACATGGTTGAGGTTGTTGTTCATTGCCATGTGCATCCCCTCTGACACTAACTGGGCTAGGAAGTGAGAGTTCTGAAGAACAATCACTGTCTCTTGGCCATCCAACCATATTGAATGTTATTGCATGCCCCATTAGTGCTTGTTCCACCCATGAGAGGGGTTGATGATCTTGGGGTAGTGGGCGTTGAATGTAGAATATTTGGTTGTTTGATTGAGTGTTTGTAGGAAGAGGTGGATTCGCCATGTTTTGAGTACGTTGGTGTCTTAATATTTGGACTAGGCGGTACCTCCTTCTTTGAGAGATAGGGATCCTTGGCATTTTTAAAGAAGTGTTGGTGGATTATATATTGGGAGTGTAATGAGTTTTTTTGGACTGGTATTGAGCTCAACGATGGAGGAGGGTAGCTAACTATAGTAGGATCTATTTGCATATCTTTGTAGTTACTTAGATGAGTGGAATTTAAAAGATTTTGGTTACATTTTGTAGTTAAGACGTGGTTGGCTGCATTACCCATTTGTGAGTTATCCAAGAGTTGCATGGACACGTGTTTTTCGTTTAGAAGAGGAGTGTTATCCCCCATGCAAGTTGAATTTTTATCAATAGGGCTGATTAAAAGGTCATTTGGAAGATGGCGTGTCTTGGAGAATTGATTAAGCTTGTTGATAGGGTCACTAAGGCCTCATTTGTTTGCACTTAATGGAGGTCTGAATTTTAATCATTCAGATCTCAGACATTAAGTGCGTTTTTTTTAAAGTCTGAATCTTAATTATTCAG